GTTTGCCGCTGGTTGCAGGAAACTGTTGCCTTTTGAATGTTATTTTAACTTCCAGCTTAAGCCTTAGCCGTCCCTTTGATTTTTAAGGTCTGGGTTTGGCAGTATCATATTTCTATTATGGTTTTTGATGGTGTATTTCACTAGGGCTCTCCATCCAAGGCCGGAAGAATGTTATGGCCACACTATGGTGCTGGTCGGGGGTGCGATGATGAAGATTGTATGGTTTCTGTATCAATTTCGTGTGTTAAGTCATGATAACTTACGGCTTTAATAGTGGATGTCAATATTGAACAATTTCTTAGTGCATGTAGTGCATGGAATCTGTGGAATGTTCTCTCTGTCTCTCGCTCTCTCAGATATATTTCAATCTCCACTGATACCCTCTCAACTCTTTTCGGTTGAGAGAATCGAACACTGCACTTCGAACCATGCGAAATCAGTACATGTGTAACCATGTAACCAGTGCCTGTTGCAGTAGTAAAAAGAAATGAGTCACTTACCTTTGTCACAAAACGTGAGTAACCCACTTCTTTTGCACAAGGAAACTGAATTATGCTGTACAACACCTAAATTGATGTTTTGAAGAGGTTTTAAGTCTTGTCGCAGAGTCCACTATTGTGTACTTACATCAATCCAGGGTTTTAACATGATGCGACGTTCTGTACATTCAGCGGAATTCTCACATAGGATACCATACTCGAGCGATCTTCGACTAATCTACTCATAATCACGTCACTATTCGCCAGCAACCTTGGCTACCGGGAGTGCCACCGCCTATTCCCCCATCCATTAATCTTTCATCCAATATAACACATCCGCTTATTCTCAACATTCATCCATCGAGCAAGGAAGCCAGTAATTCTCCTTCCCGCTCTCAGCAGCAACTTTTTTTTAAATCGCGGGAAGATCGTTTCCCCCCCTAAATGAAGAATTTCGAGACATCTTTCAGTTTCCATCTCCGTATTCCGTACACTCCTCCGTTAAACCTACGTAATTAAGATTGAAGGCCCTGTTAATTAGGTCCGATTTCTGACAAGTTTTCGCGCCGGAGACGTGTATCGCTTTTGTTGCCCTGCGAGCTACTGAAGCTCTTTCGGATATATTGTGTGGGGCCTTGCTCAGCCGAGTGATGTTGCTGATTAAGACAGCGGGAGCTGGATTTGTTGTTGCTGAGCGCAACATGCAAGTTGCTGGGGATTTCCAAAGCGGTGGGTTTGATGTACTCCGTTTCGATTGTTGTCGTCCTAGAACACTGACGAAGCTGTAAGGGAGTTTCTGGGAGATTTTCACTACTGATTCTACGTGTGCAGTGTGGGTCGACGACATGTTGAGATTGCCACCATCCTTTATTTTTCTAGGTCTGTTAATTCATGCTGAATTTCTGGTCTGGGGGAGTATATGTTAGATGCTCAGAGGTCTCATACTCTCTTTCGATGATACTCGATGTGCAAGCTCAGTTTTTCCCTTCCTTGAGCTCTGCACATAATTTCACCCTCTCAATAGTTTCTATATTCGGGCTCGAAAGTCTTTTTGTAACTTGTAAGTCAAGGCGGTGGGCAGCGAGCATAGGGAGTTGCTTCAGTGGGCGTGACGGAGAAGTTATCTCGAGGTTATAGCCAGCTACTTGCTCTTGTTGTCCTTACAAGATGGTTGGACTGAACCCTGGCAAGTTTTATGGAAGGCTTTTGCCTCGTCCGCGCGTATACTGTGACGCGAAGTTCAGTGATGCGCGAGTGGATCCTCCAGAATCTGTCAACGCAGCGTTGTTAGAGTGGGAGAGTGGCGCAAACTGGAAAATGGGAGGTACTTCTGCCAAACGTAACCGCATGAGTGGGAAGATTGAAGGTCGTATGACCAAGCTGCGAGCCATGGAAGAGAGCGAGGATGAGGAATCTTTGCCTCTTAAGGAGGTAAACGAGAAGAAGCCACTTTCTTTTGGGAAGAAAAGCGCATCATCAGCTTCCTCTTTGGAGAGACCTGTCACACCCATTGAAAGAGTGCTGGCATCACCTCAGACCAAACGAAAGAAGATAGAACCGCTACGCAGTATATCGAGTGAGCCTGAAAATGATGAAGAAAAGGTCGAGCCTCTAGTGAAGTCTATAGTCCGCAAGAGTCGAAAAGACAAAGATATTGAGAGCAATGTTGAAGATGACGATGTTCTGGAGAGTTTTCCGCAGAATATGGGTGTGAAGGATGCTACTCTTACTGGAATTACAAGGAGAAGCGGACGACTGAACTCGTCCCCCCGGACCTCTCAATCCAGACGGAATAGTGCAAGCCGGAATTCTCGAGGTTCTGTGTCAAGTCCTGTGACTCGTAAGCGTAAGCTCAATGATAAAGATTCAATCTGCGAGTCGAATGCTCCAATCTGAGAACTCTGATTATCTGACGTTTTGAAGTAGATTTTGGCACTCTATCGTGCTCTTGGGGTAACAAGATTGTTCGACACACCGTAACATATTATGATGAGTGCCTCCCGTTCATGCTAATTTGTTGAACTGAATCTTTAGGGTTGCTAGACGAGATTACCTCATCGATGTGATGACGGTGCTTGAGCTTAGGTAACTCGGCGAAGAGTTCATGTAATTTTTGAGCTTCGCTGTTGAGTGCACATATGGATACTTTTTTGTACTTGTGGGCTAGGCATTAAGTTCCTCTTATTCTCGAAATCAGTAGCTACCGTCTGCTAGTGCGAATAGCATGGTACTCATTTTATTATGTTAATGCCTAGACATGAGTGAACGAGAGGGATAATTTAGAACACTGGTCACAATTACCTCTTTTTTCCCTTTTCATAGCAGAGCAGCTGCAGCTCACTGTGTAAATTTTCAGACTGAAAAACTCAAGGAATTGTCCCTCCTTGTGTTCGCCTTGTATATGATTAGGACAGTAATTTTTCTTTCTAATTCAGAGTAGGTCCATCCCGACACTTATATATATATATATATATATATATATGTGAAGCCGTTTCTTCTGCTATTGCATCTTCTGTGGACGTTTGCAGTATTCTTACAAAGAAGTGGGGCAGTTTCGTAATATCTTGCTATTTCCTATGTTTGGTGCCCATGACAGAACCTGTTGCAATCCTTCCTTGCCTGAGGGAGTGGATATCCTCATTTAAAGTACGGCAATTCTGCAGTAAGTTTCTATAGGAATAGTTGGACAGTTTATCTGAGCTAGTTATGACATAATTGTTGCTTACTGACCAGCCACATCGTGGTCATCCATCTGAAATTCGGCAGCTCTGATTAGTTGGATTATTGAGATAATCCGAGAGAAATGAGGAAGCATATTTTTTGTTCCATGGAGATTACTTTTTAATCATGTAAATCACATTATCCATGATTGGGATTTTTCTCTGATGTAGTACATAATTTTACTATTCAATGTCCAAGGAATCTCACCTGAACTTGTCTCTGCCGGCCGGTCGGCCGGCCGGCCACGCAACTGGAGAAATTTGATCGTCCATCACTTGTGTTTGAAGTCAATTCAACTTCAATCCATGCCGTAACAAAGAATTCCATACGACTCTACTACTCTCTCCACTGTGTGAAGGAAATCCACATCCGTTGTGCCACTGATTATCGAGAAACTCATTTCAACAATCACAGAAATCACCGAACAAAAGTTGGCTTAGAAACTGAAACTAGGAGGAAGTTAGCCTGCCGACCCAACCCAAGAGTCAGCAGTCTTTGCGTGCACATATACTCTCTCCGAACGGAACCATATATAACAAAAAGTATGGTTGTGAAGTTTCGACGGTGACAACTTTAGGTAGACAATGTACGTACCATCATTGTCAAGAGAACTTATCGTCGACCTTACGTCTCCTAAAGTATGTAGGGAACCCTGAGAAAACCTTGGATCTGTTGAACCTTGATGACTGCACTGTTCATCTGAATGGTCCACTTGCCACTGAAGATTGGGCCACTGCAAAAAGTGCAACAGGTTAGATACATGACGAGCATTCGAAGTGTGTCCGCAAGCTTAATAGACTGACAATACATCACCCACACAACTACCGACCGTCCAAACTCCCCAACTTAAGTCGGTATTGAGTTTTCTGTGTCGCAGTAAGTAAACAAGTAATTATCTAGGACGAATCAATCTAATTCAAACCTCTATAAGTTGATCTCCCATGGGCTTGAACCATGAATGTCTGCCCAATATGCAGAAAGATCTGAGTAACCATACTACATCGGACACAAAATATGGAATGCAAGAAGCCTTTCAATACCTGATAGAGACCCCACATGTTTCAGTCTTGCCATAACGTAGGGATATATCACAGCAAATAGCATTCGCAGCAGTATCAGCACACACCACTCAGCCTGTACAGCAGAGTTGTTACGGTCACGAACCTTTGTGCTTGTAACGCATGCGTTTGCAATCAACACGGCAATCTGCCAATCAGACTTGAAAATCTTTAATTGCGCCTCAGAATGAAACATTGCCTTACAAGAATATCCAACATTTTCGTAATACATACACACACACAATCGACAGCACTAGGGAAAGACACGAAAATGAAACGTTTGCGGAAGAATCGAGAGACGAAAAGGAGGATAAAGAGAGTGGACGTGAAGTACCTTAAAAACGTGGCGTTGCAACGAGAACGAGCATCGTGAAACAGGTGCATATCACAGAAGAGTGCCAAACAGACAGTTGAAAGACCTGTTCATGTTCGACGACACTTCTGGAACCTAGCAAGCCGTGTGTTGACTAGACGGCATGCATTGGACGTGCATTGTCAGGATGAGCTACGTATTTGCACGTCAACGGGTGCTAAGAACATATACAGGACTCTTAACCCCTAGAATACATGTAATCTTGCAAATTAATGATGGTCTAGATCGACCAGAACTGTGGCATATCTAATATGAACTTGTAGACAGCTCGAGACAACAAGCGATCTTGCCACATGAGTGCATGAGCCATGGGACGTGACATTCCATACACGTCATTGCCGAACAACATGTGTACAGAGGAGCCCAAGAGACGATTACACGACTAAAAAAGTCATCATGCTAAAGAGCACAAATGATGCTCACCCTGTATACAAAACTCGTCCACTTCCGGACGACAACGACTGTTCAACTCTACTAAGATAAGAGTCCTAAAATCGGTTCTCGGAAATTTCTCTGGCAGTCGATGGAGGAGGAGCCGAGCTCCTCGGTTCGGTAGCAGACAGGCGGCAATATATCCGGTATGCAAACCGGTGTAAAAATGACTCATAAAAAGCAGTACAAAAAGTAACCCGTTTCATATGCCGACGATTAGTACAGTCGGGACAGACATATGACTTCTAATTAATTACAGGAGAGAGACCAAGATATCATACATGTGTCGGCAACACTACCAAAGTATTGATAGTATTATGAGTAGATCTTGGAAATTGGTTGACCAGTCTTCAGCATCCTGAACATGGCAGCGCGCTCACCAGGTGCTGAAGCATAGCTGCCTCCGGTTCCAGAAGCCATCTTCATGCCGGGCATACGTTCACTGCATTAAATGGGAAGTGAGATAGTGAGATACCATTCGCGTGTTTTCCTGAAAATAATAATCGGCAGTAATCATGCAGATTTCTCCAGAAAGAACAATTCCAGCCAAGAGCAGAAAGTAACAGCAGCTTACGTGCTAGGAACTGAAGGCTTCACCACTTCATCCTCCTCGTCCGAGCTGCTCACCACATTCCGCAGCCTGCTCGCTCCCTTTGGTGGACTTCTAACATTTGGAGTGCGTGAGGGAGCAGGAAGCGAAGGGACGGGCTTCAAGTTCGACTTCGGCGCTTTGTTGAGACAATTCTCAATCAATGAATCCGTCGAGATTTCCAAGTCCTCGCCCGATTTGGGCCTAAAGTTCTTTCCGCCCCAGGAATTGTATCGGTGCAAGCGGCACCGGAAAGAGCCAGCATGAGTGGAGGGAGAACACAGGCAAGGCATCTTCACTAGTAGAGCTCCCCCTCAGAAATCTATTATAATAATATGATAAAAAATAAAAATAAAAATAAAAAACGCTTAGCTCCCTCAGAAAACTGGCCAACCGATACCGATCGACCTCCGCCTGTGCACGAGTGACGCAAACCAACTCGAATAGACAGACACGCACCTCCCAGACCCTCCGAGAGAAGGGAATAGACTTAATCAATCAGCGAGCCAAAAAGTACACGAGAGGAATCTCTGACAAGATAGATGGCAGACAACCTTAGCGAGCAGCAGAATCCCAGATCGAAGCAATCACTATGAGATGCAAAAGAACTGAGAAGGTAGAAGAAATCCAAAACGAGTTGTATGCAGAACTGCTGGCTTCTTATAGAAGTGGCGAGAGAGAAAGCGCCCGGCGAAACAACGGGGAGGGCCTCCACACAACCCCCCCCCCCCGCCTGCCTGCCCGCCCGGCCCAGCCCGGCTCCACACCACCCCCCCTGGAGCGACTTTCTTGCACGCCTCGGCCTAAAGTTGCCACTCTACCTTGTTGAACCCCCTGGAATCGAACCCAGTACTCAATTAGTGAGTTACCACGATATCTTAGTGACCGTATTAGTGAGTGGCTAACAGCAGCCTTGGAACAACCCCGCCAGCAGCCAATTCTCAGGAATCCAAGTGAGTTGTTCGATTTGTCGATTCTCGAACGGACCCATTCGCCAAAGTCATTAATTACAAAAACCCTGATTCCCAGGTATTTAATTGGAACTCACCAGCCTTCAAATTACTGTGCAATCAAGTATATTTTATTTGTTGAATATGGGTGAATATTGTGTTTTTGTGTTATTTATTTTTTTTGGGTAGTTTGTATGTTACTAAGGAAAAATTGTTAAAATTTCCTCTTGATTCTGCTGGAGGTTTTTTAGTGGATTTTTTTTTTTTTTTTTTTTTAAAAAAAAATAAAAGAAAACAGCTTTGGAAGTGATAAAAGGAAGTTGCTGCAGTGCAAACGTGGAGAATATTCGATTCTCATTCATCCAAAGTAGTAGGTCCAATCTGAATTGGTTCTGTTCTGGCCTCCTTCATTAGCTCAGGGCCTGGTGAAAGAACAGAAAAGGAAACAAGGTGCTGCTTTGGACTGTCTTTGCCCTTCTTCACAGTCAAAATACTTTCCAGCTTTATTTTCAGACACTTTCTCATGATCTTCCCTTCCTTTAGAATCACATCCACAATAATTGACGGATGGATTCGTGAATGAATGAATTACAAGTGCTGTTAAATTTAAAAGGACGTCACCTGAGACGCAACCCATTCTATTTTTCTTTTTTCTATTTAAAAGGTTCAGATGGTGGATAATTTTCCCTGTCATGCAACCCTATTCACCATATACACCTCCAGGGTTTGCACTTTTGCTTTGGAATGGCATTTAAAAAGTCAGCACCTATGGTTTAAAATTTGTCGTCAAAAAGTAAATATGAAACACTAAATATCTCAGAAGGAATAGAATGACAAGCAGATTTTCAGCATCACCTCTAAATTAAGCTTCACACCAAAAAAGAAAAAAAAATAATCCTTTTATCAGTGAAACTGCAGTAAAAATTCAATGCTTAAAATGAAACCTCATAACTGCCTTTATTCTCTACATGGACCGAAACTATATTTGACTTCTTGTACTGGTGGTGGGCACAGGTTCAGCTGCTCATCACATCCACATGGCTACTTTAATTATGCATCAGGTTTGCTCATGCTTGAACATTTAAACCCCATTATTAATGTATCATTCACTAACCTACAGCAACTTTGCTTCCATGGTTAGAGTATTCTGCTTGACTTTTTATTTTTTAATATTTTGACAGAAATAGTAAAATAATAATACTTCATCTATAACCACAATTATAATCACAAATTCATTGATATATACATATATATATAAGTATCAGAAGTAGTTTCATTTTTGACCTAGTGCTGTGTACATACACAACTCTCTCTCTCTCTCTCCATGTACAACATGTATCATCTCCCTTGATGCAGTATAATCCATGTGAATTAGAGACAAAAACACTACCTTCTAAAATATTACCAGGTGGTGTAACCTTTCCAACCTTTAGGACAAATTTTATAACTGATTTGTTTAAACAATTTTACTGAACTAGTAGATTGAGAATTCAAGACTTGAATTGAAAATGAAAGAAGTTGGATGATGTTCAATTACTTTCTAAAATAACATGTATATTAAATTTATATATTATTCCCAAGTGAAAATGGAATGTCAATTTATATAAAGAGAAATTACAAAGATTGCAAGTAATTTAAAGATAGTTGGAAAATTTATTAGATAATTAAATAAGATGATTTTAATAGTTTGACTCCATTGTATTTTATTTGTATAAAAATAAAAACACCATATGAAAAGGATTTCGAAGATAAATTATAGTTATTATTGGAATGCAAATCAAAATACATTTCATGACAAGGATTTTACTTTTGTATTTCAGCAATGAATATTAATAGGCTTTGTATTACAAACAAGAATAAAACCAGGTTAAAACTTTTTTGTTCTAAAACTTGCACTAGGATCTGGACAAATATTATGGTTTGGTTTTAAAAAGAAAGAGAAAAATGCCAAGCTTTATGAAGGCAAAAGAACTCTATAGATAGTTTTGTTTGTTATGTGATATCTCTCTAAATATAGTCAATGCTATAATTTAAGGTGGCCCTAGCCACAAGGTCACAACAAAAACCCAAAACACAAGTGGTATAAGAGAAAGAGAAACAAACATAACCACACAAAATAAAGGGAAAGACTTGGCAAGAGGGTGGGATGATCCTATCTCTACCCTCATCTCATCTTGTTTGGGAAATGTAGCACAAACATCAACCTTTTCTTTTCTAGAATTGACGGGCATAAAAGTTGATGGTCAAATAAAGATGAAACTTGAAACACTTCAAGGTATTCAGACGAAAAAAAAGTAATACATCCATCAATTATTTTCCAAAGAGAGCATAAATTTTATTTGACTCACATCTACCAAAACTTTTGCCATACTGCACAAATTTTGTAGAAACTGTTGTAATTCTATCACAGAATATATAAACATATGTATATATATATATATATATATATATATATATATATACATATATAGTTCTACAAAAGATAATCGGACACGGAATGAAATTGAGAAACTTATTTACATCCACACTAATATATCCACTTCTGCTGTTTTGTTGCAAATCATTTATAATTGCAAAAAAGTGTGTAGGATCCAGTAGCATCACGTTGTGAGATCCAGACCCTCTCTCAAAACACTAGTTTCTTACACTCTGCACACACAAATAATTGAATAAAGAAAGAAAAATAGTTTTATGTTGATTTTTTAATGCTCCACAAGTCGAGCCAATGGAGATAAATTGATTGATTGATTGGGTTCTAACAATGCACCTGGGGCATTGTACAGACTTTGCCAAGCCTCTTGGGTGGGAGGAGCTGACCCTGTTCCTCCTCATTCTCAGGATATGGATTCCAAAGTTCAGCCCACAGCAAAAGCCTGATTTAGTACATCACTTGATTAGGAGCCAAGTCGAATCAGTACTTGGCATCTGCTCTTAAGGAACTGCGCTTTTCCTATTCTTTTTTTGGGGGTGTGTTTGTTTGGTTTTCTGCTTCCATGCCACCACTCCCAATCAGAAGTAAAGTTCAAGCTTTGTCCTTTTTCACACCAGCTACTGTATGACAAAGTGCAGCACTCTATCATCATCATCATCGTCTTCTTCACGTTGCCAAGCCTTCTGCCTTCAAAGCCATGTAACTACTAACAAGTAGAACTGCAGAATACCTCCCGAGTCGAATATTGTATTAGATAAAGAATATTCCATTGATTACATGGAAGTGGGTAGATTCTTGACTCGGGTTACAAAGAATATTTCAGGATTCCAACAGGTAGACGTGATCTGACAACTAGTGGCGACTCGGAGCGTCCAGTTTGCCAAGAAAAGGCGCCTCCGCCCTGATCAGCGTCGAGCTCCGTCAGAGCCGGCACACTGAACTTTGTTTTCTCCTAACACAGCCCTTAGATTCCTGTTGGGTCCAAACTGGTGTCATGGGTTGGACCCAGCCGTGGCGGACGGGTGGCCGCAGCTCACAGTGCTCATCTGAACGAGGTCATATGGTTTGCGGTACCGAGGCTGTCCCTATTAAAACAAAGCAGTTTGGGTTTTTTTAACACGCTCACTGTTCCTACAACAGCAGTCGCATCAAGAGGGTTGAGTTGATCAGTTCTATTCTCGTGCCCTTTTATTTTTTTTTTTTTTTTTTTTATTTGTCCCCTCATGGTCACGGCTTGGCTCCGTCTCAAGCAACTTTGAGAAGCCTCATATCTCCTGAATTCACTGTTGTAGTTCCGATGCTTTCGCGATGACCAGTCGAGCATACATACACTGCGTATCGTGTTCAGGGTGCACCAGTATCAGCAGGAGTTGTAAGCAGTAACCTTTTCTATGAATCTACTCCCCTTTGGATCTCCGAGTGTGGTTAGGTTCGATGTTATTTATGACTTTCTGTTTCCCCAAAAGAGTGGCGATCTCTATCTGCTCGCTGTTTGAAAGAACTGAGAAGGAGTAGAAGACAAACCCAACGCTTTTCTGTATCGCAACATGCACTTTCAAGCATCTAAGATACCCCGATTACACCAAACAACCTCTGCAGCTATTACCATCGTTATTGTGGCATAAACAACAAGCGTCAATCCGTGACTTCGTTCCATTCGAGCTTTGCTGAAAAGGCAGGATGTTCAAAACCGGGAGATATTAGGACTTTTAGGAAAAATCCAGTATTTTTTCCACAGCCAAGACGGTACTGCTGTTACTCGTGGCACACTCTTGAAAGGCAACAGGATTTTATTCCTCCTCGAATTCTGCCACGATTCCTTTCTCCCATATGTTGCCTGGATATGAGAATGTTCTCATCCCCCCTCACCTTTTAACTCCATGCAGGATTCTAACCTATCCACTGAAATCATGTCATGCGGGAGCCAACAGAAGATGATACTTCAGCACGACGGAGAAGCTCACAGAAGTAAGGGAAAAACACTGCAATAGGGTCGAAGATCCTCAGGATCCGTCATCCTTCCAGATAAAAGGCTTTGCAGATTCTTCTCTATTGTGCATTGCAGACCATGTTCCAAATTTTGGTCGTTAACTTATATATATATATATATATATATAAATAAAACACTAATGAAGAATCATGAGAATATATACATGCATGCATACATACATACATGTAATGCACGTTTTTACGAGTACATACCATTACATGTTGGACAAAGTACCAAAGTTGTCTGTGATTATTCAAGCCATGATACTGATTTGA